GGGGGGCATGCAGGGTTGGAATGGGGATCGGAAGAAAAGATTGAAGAAATCTCCCAAGATAAAGAGATTGGAAAGGTGGGTTAAAAATAAAGAAATAAATTATCAAAGAAATAACTCAAGCAAGTTTCCCAGAAAGATGGGTAGAAGTTTCCAGGCTAAAAGAGTTTGCTGAGAGACCAACACCCTGACTGAAACACTACCTATATCAAGGCACATCCTTGTGAAACTTCAGAAAACAAGAAATAGATGACCCCAAAACTTTACAAAAAGAAAGGCAGGTGACATCCAAGGAACTGGGTATCAGAATGTAACATCTCAACAGCAACACTTGAAGCTAGAAGTCACTGGGGAAATGTCATCAAATTCTGGTGAGAAATGATTTCTAACCTAGAATTCTAAGCCAAACCAAAAAAAAAAAAGCAAGACTGAGAGTAGAAAAGAGATATTTTCAGATACATGAAGTCTCAAAAAAAAAGTACCTCCTATGTGGACTTTCTCAGGAAACTATTGGAGGATATCTACCAAAATGAGAAAGCAACTTTTTAAAAAAGAGAAAGAGAAAAAGGAAGTTCCAATGGCCAGGAAGAAAGGATCCAACACAGTGGATATGAAAAGAGTATGTAAGATGGTGATGTGGCAGTGAGAATGTTCAGGAAATGACTGCCTTCTTTGGGCCAAGAGACTTCATCCAGAGTAAAGAAGAGAGATGAAAGACCCCAGGAGAGATGTCTCCAAGAAGAAATGGAGGAGAGTAAAAGGAAGAAAGGATATGTGATGTATTTGAATTGAGATGGAATTTATGATCTATCTGAAGGTCTGAGGGGAAAAGATAAAAATACAATTTCTAGAAAACAACAGAAAGTTGGACGTTGGTTTACAATGTGTAAATAGGCATTCTAAAGTCTGTGTCAAGTACAAAAAGAGAACAGAATTACTAAATAACTTTAGACTTTGTTGAAAGTTTATACTTTAAGAACAAACGTTAAGGGTAACCCCTGAAGAACCAGAAAACAATCTATACCTACCAAACAATCAAGGAGATGGAGAAAACTGTATCAATCAAACAGAAATCAGAAAAAGATTTTTTTTTAAAAAAAAAGGTAAGTAAAAAGCTAGTAAAAAAATAAATAAGGTGGTAAAAATAAGTCCAAATATGTCAGCAACCACCATAAATATAAATCTATTAAAGTCACATTGTAAAACAGAAATGGTCAGATTAAAATACAAAACCCAATCTAGCTATGTCTTTGTTTACAAGAGACAGAGGTGTATGATAGGTGTGGGCTGATTTAAAGATGCTACCCAGATTCTCTTTCTCAAAGAAAATAAAGAAGGGAGACTCAGGTGGCAGTGAATGCTGGAACTAGGAGGTGACAATGAAATGGTACCAGAGCAGTGGTTGGGGCATGTGTGTGAGACAAAGAGCTATCAGTAGGGAAAGGAGGCCACTCAGTAGGAGGAAGGGTGGAGAGACAAACACAAGGAGAGAAGGGGAGGCCTCTGCCAGAACCAGGTAGTTCTATCCTTCACAGATTCCTGGGAGACCTGAATGCACTCAGTTCCTGATCTTGGAGCCCTGCCAGTCCTCTCTGTCTCTTAGAAAACAAAAAACACCCCTTCACATGAGCTACATTTGGTGGGTTGCTTTTCCTTTCAGCCCAGAGTCCCAACAAGAGCACATTAACAGCAACATGGCTAACAGTTTATGAGTGATAACTGTGTGCCAGGCATCCTAACAGGAGCCCCTCATAGGTTATCTTACCTAATATTACCCATGAGGCAGCTGCTGCTATTCTCTGCATTTTGTATGTTAGTAACTTCAGGCCTAGGGAGGTTTCACAGCTAGTTACCGGTGACTCAACCACCAGAATGAAGGGAGGGTTACTCTGCATTGCTCCAGGTGGCTTATGATGGCCAAAAGTTAGACATTAGAATGAACCAGATTTTGGTTTAATATTAAAAAAAGGACTTTCTAATAATTAGGTTTATTTAAAAATGGAACAGGCTACCTCTAAAAGAGGTGAGTTCTCCATCAATTTAGGTATTCAACAGAGGCTAAATGAATATCTTACAAGGAAAATGTAAAAAGGATTCCTTCACTAACAGGGAAATCAAATGATTTCTAAGACCTCTTCTAACACCATTAGTCTCTGAATTTTAGCACACTGATCTATTACAGCATGTGATGGCAAAAATATTCTCTAACCTGTGCTGTCCAATAGGGTGGTCACTAGACATGTGTGATTAGTGAGTGCTTGCAATGTGACTACTGCAACCGAGGAACTGAATTTTTAGCTTTACTTAAATTTAATTAACTCAAATGTATATAGCCACACAGGGCTAGTGACTGCTGTATTAGACAGCACAAGTCTGTAAGCATTTAGATCACACAGTAAAAAGGACTGTGAAATAAAACTGGACAGCCCAGGGCTAAGTTTTATGCATCATGCAAATATAATAGCTCAGTGCTAAGGCTCTGAGGTCCTTGCTGGTAANGCTAGTGACTGCTGTATTAGACAGCACAAGTCTGTAAGCATTTAGATCACACAGTAAAATGGACTGTGAAATAAAACTGGACAGCCCAGGGCTAAGTTTTATGCATCATGCAAATATAATAGCTCAGTGCTAAGGCTCTGAGCTAAGTGAGAGGCAAGGACACCTCCTCATGAATCATCTGCATCCCTTCCTGTAGGTTAGCCCTTCTCAACTGTACCTCCTGCTGCCTAGGGAGCACACACACATGTATGTATGTATGTGTGTACATATATATATATGTACACATACACATACAGAGGAAAAATACAAATATATATATATATATATATATATGTATTTAAATGCATGTTTCTGTGTGTGTGTTCGTGTGTATTCACATGCACACACAGCATGGGTAGGGAAGGACACAGTGGGCTAATTTAATATTAGAATGGAGTGGAAGATCTTTCACTTTTCTTTATGCATATCTACACTGCTTTACTTGTTACAAGTATTAACTTCTTCTGTGAAATAAAAATTCTAATAAAATAAAATGAGGACTGAACTTATGAATATCCTTAAAATCCTACAACTGCTACCATAAAATGTTGGGAGTGTAGTTTTTAAAAAGGTACACATCAAAATGTCCAGTGAAAATTAATATCATATATAGTTTCATTCCACAAATTTAATCCCTGAAATGAACATTTTCCTCAAAGGTACAAAACAGAATGCTATGGAAAATAAGAAATGAAAATACAATGGAGGAAATTTTGTGCAGGGTCTTCATTTTGAGGTGTTGCATTGTGTGTTCTTACTGTTATTGTTGATAACTCAAATCTTCTAACTTAAATCTTAAATTAGTATAGTCTTAAGTTGTTGTGAGGCTCAAAGAACTCCTGGAAGAAAAGTAATGCCAAGACCTGTGGTAACCTGTCCTCCAAGCCATGAGGGAGATACCCTGGGGTGTAGCAGTTCCAGATTTTGAGCTCAAGGAATTCAGCTCTTACAAATCACCTAGCCTAAAGGGTTGAACAGTCAGTGAGCATTGTATCCTTTTAGGGTAAGCTGTGTAGTTCCTGGAGGCCTTTTAGAGAGGTCTTGTCCTGAATCGGGCACAACAGGCTGGCCCCCCTTAAAGTTCAGGGAATCAAAAGGAAAGAATTCTGTGGTCACCCATGTTCCTGCCATGTTTAGAAGGTGCTCCAAGACATTATCATGGCTCGATGTGGTACACTGCCCAGCCCCAACCCCAATCAGAGAATTCAGTACACCTTTAATGAATACCTCTGAGAAATCCTTCCAGGTTCCCCTGAATCTGAGAAGCAACTAAAGCCAAGGGTTTTCAGCAGACACAGATGGGGAGGTAAAAGCTTTGACAGTAAATAAAAGGCTGCCCCACCTCTCTCCCGCTGAGGTCCGCCATGACTGGGTGTGCGGGGGTGGGCTGCCTCACTGCCAAGAGTCTTGGCTCCCCATCAAGCAGGAAGTGTCTGGCCTCACAAGCCAGGGTACAGGGGAATCGGGTCACTGGCAAATGCTGGTAAAGCAAGCAACTTCAACAACAACAAAATACAACAGTTACAACGGAGAACAAAACACAGAGCATCAAAGTGCATCCCCAATGAGTCTTATCCATTCCATCCATACATCATTCCTCCAACAAACTCACTGAGTGCCTACTACAGGAATCAGGAGTAAACTTTCATCAGCATGAGGAATGGAAGAAGCCAAGGTCCACACACCCACTTTCTATTTTAAGCCCCTCCCCTAACCGGATGCATGACCTTGAGGGTATTACTTGGGCATGCATCAGCATTTCCACATGCTAGAGGGTGAGAGTCACTCTTAAGTGCCAGCCATGGTGTGCAAAGTGCTTTGTGATTCTTATGTGAAAGATGGTCAACTGCTACAGAGAAAAAAAATCAGTCAAGTAATTACCCAGAGCATCCCACTGCAGTTGTGACCTTGAGGCCTACTGCAAATCCTTACACCAAACTCTCCCGAATTAGAGGCCCCCCATGATACAGCCCTGCCCATACTAACTTCTCGTGGGGAGGTCCCCCAGGGGCACATGGCTCTGTGACAGGCAGCTGCAGTGAGGAAGCCTCATAGTAGTCCCTGGGGAGTAGCACCAGGTAGTCCTAGGAAATAAAGACCAAAAGGACAATGACTCACTTTGACGGTGGTCCTATTTTAGAAATAAAATAGCCAAACATGTTAATTTAATAACGACTAGGTGAATCTCACTAGTTAAACTCTCCACATCCCCTGCTTTGTTCTGCCCCCGACTCACCAGACACCCAACTTAACTCACGCAGGTACTGTAAACATTGGAGATAAGTGCCTCGGGCAGGGTGAACTTGATAATTTTCAAATCTCAGGGGAAATTCTACTGTCTCTTCCGGGTTGTTTTAAATTAAAAAATAAACAGAGATAATTACTGCCAATTGATAAAACATTCCTTTGAAATACGGGTGCCTTCATCACTACAAAACACTGGTTGCGTTTCACTCATTATGGCTCTTCATTCCCACACCAGAGCAGTGCTTGACCGGCTTGGTGTAAAAAGTGGTGTTTTGTGGTCCTGGTGAATCAGAGATTAGAACTGGCCTACTGCCTGTCCTAGGATACGAGAGGAAGAACATGTTCCACCGAGTGTGCCAAATGAAGCCCACAACGTAAATTCAGCTATGTGGCTCTTCAGCAAAGAGCAGAGCTCTCGGCTTCTGAGTGGCAGAGGGTTTGCCAGCTTTGCAGCAATCTGGGAAGAATATCACAGAGAAGCACTGGCTCCTCTAGTCTCTTCTCTTTCCACCACCAAGAACTTCACTGATTTTTAGCATCTTCTCTTCCTCTGGTTTCTTTTGATTTGTTCTGCACAATTCCCAGAGAGGCTGAGTTTTTTAGATGCCCTTCCCCTCTAATTCATGATGAAAAATCCCAAAGAAACTTTTGAAAGGCTGGGACATATATGTTCATTAAGGTTTAGCATTTATTTTTATAACTTCAAGTCATTATGAGTTATAATTTGGTATGCTTTTTTTTTTTTTTTTTTTTTTTTTTGAGAAGCTGGCTGGAAGACTATAGAAGATATTTTAAGTTNTTTTTTTTTTTTTTTTTTTTGTCTTTGAGAAGCTGGCTGGAAGACTATAGAAGATATTTTAAGTTGGTTCCTATGTCATTACGTCATGTGAGGGCAGCTGCCATCATTTGTGTCTAAAAGGCAACCAGCTATGATTTTGATATCTTATAGTCATTGTGGGTCACTGTGGATGAGACTATTGGGGGGGGGGCAGAGAATCTCCACTCAGAGCTACCACGTACCAGGAGGACTCCCTCTGCCTTAATACAAGCAATCCACTTCCCTGGTGTAATTGAAAATGGGTCTGCCAAACCATTTCCGGGGATGGTGACAAAGGCTGGCTCCTTGCTTGGCAGAAAGATGATCTCTTTGCTTTGAGCAACACCTGTCAGAAATACAAAGAATTGCTTAGGGCGTTTTTCTAGCAGTCAGTGTTATGATTTTAGATAATCAGTTTTGAATATTCCTTTACATCTGAAAAAGTGTAGGCTAGTTTACTGATCATATGTACAGACCTTATTTTTTTTTAATTGTATGAATGCACATGCATATGTATAAAATAGACTAGAAAGATTTTGGTAAGATGTTAGCAGTGGCTATCTATGCTGGGATTGTGAGTCACTTTTTAATTTGTTAAAGATTAAGTATACTAATATAGATAAACTGCTTAGAAAAGTTCTTGGCACATTTTTTAATTGTCAAAAAATATGTAACTACAGTTCACAAGGAAAAAGAAAATAGATAAACACACTAAAACTCAATATCACAAGCACTCAAATAAATGAAAATGAAAATAAGGACAACATATAACTTTCACTCATCAAGTCAGCACAGTTCTTTGGTGGTGATAGGCTGTGTTGGACATGAAACCAGCAATGTGGTAACACTCAGGTAGAAGGGGAATTGGTGCTACTTTTCTGGAAACCATTTTGACAATTTCAAAGTTCTTAAAAACTTTCTTATCAATCAGCCCAGTGATTCTGCTTCTAAAATCTATCCTGTGGAAGTGTTTCAAAATGTAGATAGAAATTTATGGGTGAAGATTTTCACTGCTGCATGACAGTAAGTGGAGCCCTGGCTGGGTGGCTCAGTGGGTCGGAGCACCGTCCCGTACACCGAAAGGCGGCAGGCCCAGTCTCTGGTCTGGGCGTATGGGAGGCAACCGATCAACGTTTCTCTCTCACGTTAATGTTTCTCTCTTTCTCTGTCTCTCTCTCTCTGCCTCCCCCTTCCTCTCTCTAAAATCAACAAACAAATCCTCAGGTAAGGATTAAAAAGAAAAAGAAAAAAAGAGTGGAAACACCCTCAATATCGAACAGTGGAGGAAAGAAAGTAACTTAAGGTGTAACTGGTGGGATAATATGGGGGAAGTTTACGAAGCCAGATAAAAAAACTGGAGGTCAAGTATGATTTCTAAGTTTAAAAACCGGGCATGGGGAAAAAACCTGGTAGGAAATGTACCTAATATCACAGGTAGGGGGTTTCATTTGCTTCTGTACTCTCTAAGTATTCAATATATTACATTTGATATTAGATTATTTCTCCTTTTTGTTTATATGTAATTTGAAATTTTTAATTTCTATTGAAGAGCATGCATTCATTTTGAAATAATAAAAAGTTTTCTTTTTCTGTTTAAAGATCTAAAATGTTTTCTTCTGCCTTAAACAAATAGAGGACCTTCTGTAGAAGGTTCAGAAACAAACAAAACTGTGTATCTGAGTCCCATTGAGACACTTTCTTCAGAAGAAATGTTGACTCCAAGTCCTGTTCTACAAACATGGGCCACTATGTAGCAAGCCTGGAACCAGGTTCTAGAAATGAGGCAGCGAGCACGGCCAGCATTGCCTTCGCGTCCCCACAGCGGGCATATGGGAGGGGAGCAGTTACAGGCCAGAGAACAGGAGCATGCTGTTCCGCGTGGCCAGTGGCGTCGGGGAGGAGGGTGGGTTACCTCGGGAATACACAACCGGGGCTCCTGACTCAGATATGGGGGCTTAGGAATGGTGTCCCAGGAGAAAACAAACCAAAATGTATTCCAACTGTCCGAGTACACAGAGGGCAAATCGCTACTGGGATTGTCATGTAGGAAGCGGCGGGGCCGGGGCCTATTAAAAAGTTTGGGATCTGAAGACTGAGACTTGTCTACAAAGGCCGGCCGAGTACTTAGGCAATTTACCACACCTCTCAGCGCTGTTTCCTCCTCAAGCCTCCTCAGCCCATAAGTTCTTATCTTGTGGGGGAATGGATGCCAAGTCCTCTGGAAATGTTAATGCGAGCCTGCTAGTTCCTCCTATCCCTTACTAGTTCATCAAGCTCCAGCCTCACGAACTTGGCTGATGCAAAGTGGAAACACCATTTCTTCCCCCAGGTCCGACTCTGCTGTGGACGCCATACACAGACACCTAGACTTCTGTCTGAATTAGGTTCCCAGGACTGGCAGGAGCCCTAACTGCTTGCAGAACAGACTCCAGGCCTCCTCTCAGCTCCAGACCACAGTGAGATCCGCGTTCTGACTGCACTTCCCCTCAGCTCTCAGGAATCCTCCCCCTGAATGAGGCCGGCCTGCTCCTCTCTGGAGCTCTTGAGGGCTTCCTGCTTTACAGTACTCATCTTAAAATTCCTATCCTCACCCAGTTCTCCTTGAACTATTTGCTTTGTCTGAAACAATGGGAGAATTTAAGTCAGGAAGCCAAGGTCTCTCAAATAACACCACTTTACAGTGAATGAGTTATAAACGAGCTTCACCCTGTGGTGACCTCATAACCCCTGGAGTTCAGCCAAGGTACACAGGTTGTTACCCTGATTTTTAAATGAACTGTTAATGATAAATTTAATAGCTAAATTTAGCAGAATGTTTAGAAATGGAAGAGGTAGCACAGGACAGGGTACCAAGGGCATTGTCCTAATCAGACCACACACCAGGCATAACGTTTTCTAAGGGGGCGACTTTGTGAAAACTGGGGAAAACATTTCACTAGTTCATTGTTTTTTCATCAAAAAAGAGGCTCGAAAATGCACCTACCTGCCTCAGCCCAGGATGGATAAATAGTTACGTGGCCAGCTACCGCTTCAGTTCCAGGGTTAACGTATCTCAAAATGACACGAAACAAAGAGAGACTTGACTTCCCCACATTCAGCACGATCCTTACTTCATTCTGAAAAATACCAAAGGCCATAAAGTATAGAAGAGACAACTGGTTGAAAGAAATGCTAGCCAAACAGTGACTTCATTCACATTTCACTACTGGGCTTGTAGTTACACGCACGCATACACACACANCAGTGACTTCATTCACATTTCACTACTGGGCTTGTAGTTACACGCACGCACACACACACGNTGTAGTTACACGCACGCATACACACACACACACACACACTCACACGCACTCATACCCACTCAACAAGCACCGAGGAACTAACTCTGTGGGAGATGGAAACAGGCAGGCCTAACAATGAATTAAAATCACTTACAATGAAAGGTACAGTGAAAACGCACTCCCTCAGCAACTGAGATCCTCTTTCGAACTTTTTGTGACCAGGCAGACAGCAGAAAGAGACGGACTAGTTAGGGAAAGCCACAGAGACAGAGCAACCACCACTGGCTGGGAGAAATAAAAAGGTGGAAGAGAAAGAAAGGAAAGTATATTTAACACCCCCCCTCCATAGAGAGAACACTCCAGGGTCCACCTCACATATAAAAAACTCTGAATGGACACAGGAATCGGTGGTGGCTAAGGAAAGGCTATAGACCCCAAACACATTAGTGATGAAAGCTGGATGTAAGTAAAATATGCTTACTAAGTCATACGACATGTATCTCAGTCCCCATCCAAGGAGAGTATGGGCTTTTTAGATGGTGTATGTGGGGCTGTCCTGCTGTCCACCAACCCCTGGTGCTCACACAGTGGTTCGTAAGTGCTGCTGAGTCCATGGTGTTGAAGGAAAGAGCAGAGTGTTTTAAGTCTGAACTACAGACTCTGTGTTCAAATCCAGCTGTGGCCCAAGGAAAGTTCACGAAACTTGGAAATTTCCAGATCAGTGGTTGTTTTGGTTTCTCCCACAGCTCCTTTGGTTAAAACGAAGGGACGTTTGTTGAAGGAGGTATCTGTGACATAAAAGACTGGGTCGATAGACTCCCTTATTCTGGGATCAGGAGCTGCAGCTGGCCCACTCTGAGGAACTCCAACTCGCCCTCTCAGTTTGACTCACTTCATCTTTAAATATTAGTTCCAAGTTGGAAAATAAAAATGCAAAAATGTATTAGGAGCAGAGTAAAGTTAGTGGTGATGTGAGCAACACCACCAAGGTCCTCTGACTAAAAATACTTACAGGGAATTCATCATTAGGCAGTCATTCCTTAGTGTTAACCAGCTATTCTTGCAAACTCTAAATACCTCTGGGAAGGTATATATTGGGCTCTCAGTCATTCACATCCTGTTATGACTCAATGGAATGCACTGCTTTTTCCTGAATAATGAGGTAAGATCAGGGAAGTAAAGAAACTGAATTGCTGTATCTGGGAAGGAGAAAACAGTGAGGCAGCTTAAGATCCTCAGGATGGTTTGGGAAAGGCAGCCTGGATGGGGATTTTTGTCCACGCAAGAGCAGTGCTAGAATCAGTGGGTGCTGATGGTCAAGTTTCTCTAAAGGCTAAATGAGATAGAAATAGCAAGTATAGTTCTGGATCTGCTAAGGACATATATTGGGTTGCCATAGTCATCAGTTTGCCTCTTTTACTCTAAATTTCTCCACTGAGAAACACAGTTTGAAGAGACTAGCCTCAAAGAGAAATTCTGAGAATACAAATACTCAGTGAGTATACAGAAATTTTTCATTATAAGTATTAAGTTCTAAAGGTAAAGTGTAAATTTCTTAATTATTCTAATACAAAGCCAAGAGAGATGGATACAGTAGAGAAGACTGAAGAAAAGGGGAAATGTGGGAAAGAAAAATTAAATAGCACTGACTAAAACTCCTCATTTATCTTAGGTTCTATTTATATAGTAATTTAGAGTTTTAGAAAGTAAAAAAATATCATTGGTCATAAAATAGCAACACAAGCTTTATTGGAATTATTTAAGTCAACTTATTTTATTTTCCACAAATGGCTTAAAGGAAAAAGGTGTCTCATGTTAAAATATAGCCTAATCTTGTTTGGAAAATTTCCTATAAAATGTCTCCAGAGATAAGTACCATTTTTCTTTAATCCCCTCATTTTCTGATTTGGCGACCAAATTAAAGCAATAAGAAACTGTGAAATTGATGTATATGTTTATCAGTCAAAATCCAACCCTAGCCCTGGCCGGATGGCTCAGTTGGTTGGAGCATTGTCTCATATACCAGAAAGTTGCAGGTTCGATTCCCAGTCAGGGCTCATGCTCAGGTAGGCTGCGGTTTGATCCCTGGTCCGGGCACATTCAGGAGGCAACCGAGCGATGTTTCTCTCTCTCTCAAATCAATAAAAACACATTCTCAAGTGAGGATGAAACAAACAAAAATCCAACCCTACCCAGAGCCCCATTTATCCCCCCTCCTTTTCCCCCTAGGAGAAAAATAACCCTAGAATCAGTTTTGGGGACAGTTCACCTTTCGTGGGACTCACTGAGAGCGCCGCGAGTAAGCATAGGGGTACTCTGCTGTGCAGCTGTTTCCCACTGGCTGCGTACCTGCAGGGAGGTCATCTGAGCATATCCTCTCCAGCTAAACTCAGGAAACTCCAGGGGATCAAATCCAAATCGAAGTTTTCTTCCACTAGGTACAGTGCCATCTTCAACCTCATGCTTCATGTGATGCAAACCCGGGAAATAGTAGTTGTTTTCGGGTCTTTGATAAACAAAAGGTAAACAGGGATACGACAAGTTGGGTTCCTGGATAATCTGAATATCCTTTAACCCCAATAGTTACGACTGAAAGAACTCCCAGCAAATGGACAGAGTGCATTACACAAGGACAAGTGACAGAGGCCTGCAGCTTTTTCTCTAAATGATTGCTTTCACGCGTGTAAACATTCACATAAAACATACCCAACACCTACTCGCTCGAAGCAGTAGAATGAGAAAATCCTTTAGCACAACCCTTTAAAACATTCTCAATGGGCGCCAACGACTCAGCAAAGTGAGATTAGGTTATTTCTCTAAATTCGTTCATTCATTCACTCTCTTATAAACTCATATCCACTCACTACACAGATATTAATATCTGTGTGTCAGCAACTGTTGCTAACTACTATAGATACAATGCTGAACAATTTATATGCTCTTTACAAATTAGATACACTTACATTTATATATTCTTTTGATCATTACAATGACTTTTCTATACCTTTTTTTCTCTTCAACTATGTGCCTATAAATGGATTCATTTCACCAGTTCGATAGTGGAAATCACAGAGGATCAAAAATATTCCGATGCTTGTGTGACATTTTAAATTCAAACAGCCTGAGGTCCAGTCTCTAGTCTCGGCCACCTGACTTTTTGTACCTGTGGGAACTCTCCAGTGAGGCTGCTCCATGGCCTGCAAAGTGGAACAGTTTTTATGGGCAACTTTACCTCCTCTTCTAATAGGGCTCAGGGACAAAGGTCCAGATCACAAATGACAGTGCAGCTTCCTCTGCCCTCTGTCCTGAGGATGGCTCGTCTCCTCACCAGGACTGTCAGCACAGACAGGACTCTGAGAGAGTCTTCCAAACATCAGTGTGGGAGAAACCTCCCGAAGACTCACCGCTGGCACGCCTTCCCCTCAACGTGTTCTCGGCACTCACATACTCCAGAGGGCCCGCTGCATATGGGGGTGACAGCTCCACCAACGTCACATCGACACCCTGAAAGTCAGCAAACAGCAGCGTTTGCCCACCAAAGCATCTCCACGGTGGATGCTTTCCCTGCCTCTAGGAATGGAAATCGGTAAACCCAGGGTCGTAGTGCTGGGCCTCCTTTCCCCTGCCTATCTTATATCTGGCAGGTGTTTGAAATATGTATGAACCTCCCAAACTGAGATGGCATGACCCCCAAAAGTCCACTAGCAAACTGGAGGTGACTTGGAGGCCAGCTCCCACAGAGTTGTTCAAGGTAAAGGGAACTAAAAATGATTTAGCAACATAGTGCTGTTGTAAACAGTGTGTGCTAAGAAGAGGGGGCATGATAGATACAAGAGTAGCTTTATAGGACAGCCGCTCCTACAGTTTTATTGTTTAAAACAATATAACATCTAAAAACCTGGTGTGAACGTTTTTGATAATACAAACTATATCTTTAAAATGACTAAGCCTTGATTTTATTTACAGTGACTCCCCCTACCCCAATTATATTTTTTATAATTAAACCCACAGTGTGCTGGTAGAAGAGAAGCGGAAGTAACCCCATTTGCAGTTATTACTAGTTTCAACTGAAAGTTTCGTGGAGGGAATTTTTAGCCCCCTCCCATCGGAAAGTCTGCAGGAAGATGAAGAATTCAGAATAAAGGTTATCCTGGCCGTCTTGTCCACCAACACTTTTGCTCTACTCAGGACCCACCAGGTGTAGTTACCTTGACACCCAAAGTAATTGCCCTTTTCCAAAGCAAAATATCCATCCTCGCACGTGTCACAGGAATCGCCACCGACATGGGACTTGCAGTGACAGTCACCGTCTTGCTGCAGAACAATGAGCCAGGTGACAAAATTGGATTAAGCTTGCAGAATTCACCAAGCTTCAAGATTTAAAACTGGCTCACTGTGTAATATGAAGCAGTGTAGTCAGGATCTAAAAATGTCCAAAAAGATGACCACACACAGGCCAATTACAGAGGCCCTAATATAACACCCTCTCGCAGAAACCCCGCAATCAGCTGCTACTGGTATCATACGAAAAATCAGCTCACGTTACCTGCCCACACTCTCCAATTCCACTCACTGTTCCCGCCACATGGCACTGGCATTCTGTGAAGATAAGAGAGCGTCCTTGGACCAAGGTTACACAAAGGACAGTTTCCCGGCTCTGGGAACGTGACGCACCAGCAGCCCTACACGTGCACTCACTTCCCGGAAGCCAGCTTGCTCTGCTGAAGCCTAAACTTGGACTGCTTTCTTGCATCAGAACAGCCAGATCAACGCCATCCACCTCCAAGGAATAATGGCTAGTTTCTGAGCACTCTAAACAAAAGCTGCAACATCGTGGGATTTTTAAATGAGTCTAATGTCAAGGTCATTGCCGATGTGCTTACGTGAAAACATACTCTATTTAAGGTTATTCACTCCACGTAGCCACCTTTAGCTCGATGTTTTTGAGTCCTGTCCTGACTTCAGTCTAAGCATAAAATGAAAATAATACTAAGTTAGAAAGAATGGGTTGTAAAAACAAGAAAGTAAAAACCATTTATCAAGTAGCTGCCTTCCCGAACACCACAATACATATGGAAACAGGATATAAATCCCTTGCTGAGGTTTTGAAAATGACAGAAGTTCTGCCAAATGTGGGGGGAAAACATCAAAACATTTATAAAAAATTTCAGACAAACAACTGATTAAATAGCTTTTTTGTGGGTGTAGTCACTGAGGTAGAGAAAATTATGAGGAAGCTGCGGTGTAGTGAGTTATTATGTATAAGAAACTTTACCTGAACATCCTTTGGGGTTTTCTTTAGCCAGATTCCAATATAATGGCTTACAGGTGTTGCAGGCAGGACTTTCAACGTGAAGCTTGCACTGGCAGAACCCCTTCAAAACAAAATCAAACGAAGATCTGACATCTCAGAATTAAGACATGTTTTCAAACATGTGTTCTGAACAAAGCTTGTCACAGAAATATATTTAGATCATGAAAAGTATATTAACTGTATTCAAGGGGAATAAAAGTACTGGGTTGATTTCAACGGTCTGCTTAATTTACTGTCTTTTTGCCCATTTATTTGTTATATACCTAATCCATATTTCTGGTTAAAACAAAATTAGAAAATACAGAAAAATGTTAAAATCACTGTGATTTATAACATTGTCATTGTTACAGCCTGGACTATAAATTTAAATGGAAAAATATCTGAACGCTTAACATGTGAGAATCAGTAGAAAAGTATGCTTATCTGAATGTTTTGTAACACGCAAGCATCATGCCTTGCTGAAATATCATCGAGACTCATAGGAAGGATGCAGAACCCCTCTCCCACTGTCCCCCAGGGCTAAGAAGACAGATATTTTCTAAAGTGCTTAGAAAACGAATCAGAATGTTGTAGTATTTTCTTGGAGTAATATCAAATAAATTACAATTACTTTGTACACAGACAGCTTTATTTAATGTGAAATTGGCCTTCGATTTTCTTAATTTTAATAATGTATGGTCAGGCTTCTGTGCAGGGCTCTATGGTAGCAACATCCTGAGAGTAACTGACAATAACAGTTAAAATCTAGGACTCTAGAGTTCAAGTTTAAATAAACCTTATTCTTTTGTTTTTGAATAAAATCACAATATCACATATGCATTTTGAAAATAAGCAATGACCTATTTAAGCAATTTGGCCTCAGGCCTTATTTTAATTTACTTTAATTTCAGGAAGCTCCCAAATGTGTTAGTCTTTAAAAAGTATCAGAATAATGGTTAGAACTGCAATCCTTTTATAATTCTCCACTTACCAAACTGGAGTCGAGGGTACCGGCCAGGTCACAGGAACTGCTGGAGCCTGTGTATAATTCAGAAATATGTTCAACGTCTGGGGTTTTAATGTTTGTTTGTTTGTCTCTGTTTGTTTTCAAGTTTTAAAAGTTTTAATTGTTTTTAAAAATAGTGCATCTACATTTATATTTTTTGATACATGGCCAGCAAGGATATTGCATGTAATTCAGAAAAAGACACCCCTTTATGGTCTTAATTCCCAAGTCACCCCCTTTGCCACTGAACAACTCTAGTCCCTGACTACTACTAAAAGTTCATCTCTTTTTAAAATTTTATTTTTCCATCGCAGTTTATATTCAATATTATTTTGTATTAGTTTCAGGTATACAGCATAGTGGTGAGACAATCATATAATTTACAAAGTGTTCCTCTCCAATATTTCCAGTACCCACCTGGCACCATACATAGTTATTATAATATCATTGACTATATTCTCTATGCTGTACTTTACATCCCCATGACTGTTCTGTAACTAACAACTTGTAGTTCTTAATCTCTTCACCTTTTTCACCCAGTCCCTCTGGCAACCATCAGTCTGTTCTCTGTATCTATGAGTCTGTTTCAATTTTGCTTGTTCATTTATATTGTTCTTTAGATTCCACATATAAGTGAAATCATATTAGTATTTGTCTTTCTCTGACTGACTTATTTCACTTGTAATGCTCTCTAGGTCCATCCACACTGTCGCAAATGGTAAGATTTCATTCTTTTTATGGCTGAATAATATTCCATTGTACATATGTGCCAAAACTTCTTTATCCACTCATCTATGGATGGGCACTTGGGTTGCTGCCATATCTTGGCTATTGTAAAGAACACTGCAATGGACATGGGCCCAAAAGATCCCGAATAGCCACAGCAATCATGATAAAGAAGAACAAAGCTGAAGGTATCATGCTGCATGATATTAAGCTATACTACAAGGCTATAGTAATCAAAACAACATGGTACTGGCATGAAGACAGACACATAGATCAATGAAACAGAATAAAGAGCTCAGAAATAAACCCTCGCCTTTATGGTCAACTAGTATTTGACAAAGGAGGCAAGAACATACCATGAGGTAAAGACAGTCTATTCAATAAATAGTGTTGGGAAAAGTGGACAGATACATGCAAAAAATAAATAAACAAATAAACAAACAAACAAACAAAACTAGACCACTTTCTTACACCATATGTAAGAATAAACTCAAAATGAACTAATGACTTAAGCGTAGGACTCAAAACCATAAAACTAGAAGAAAACATATGCAGTACAATCTCTAAAATTTCTCTTAGCAATATTTTTTCTGATATATCTCCTTGGGTAAGAGAAACAAAAGAAAAAATAAATAAATGGGACTGCACCAAACTAAAAAGTTTTTGCACAGCAAAGGAAACCATCAACAAAATGAAACTACAACCTACCGAATGAGAGACAATATTGCCAATAATACATCCAACAAGGGTTAATATCCAAAATTTATAAAAGTTCATTTCTAACTGATGATGCAGGAGGAGACTGGGGGAAAAGAGGCACTCGAATTTTGAGCATCTTTAGGATTGTCCAGAAGAGGGCAATATTGTACCAAGAGATTTTTTTACTGTCCAATTAAAAAGTTCCAGAATTTGTGAGTACATTTTTTTCATTAACCAAGACCTAATTCTCTAAATATTACAATCCCCTTGTTCCTCACCTGTGCTACAATAATTTCTAAAATTAGTTTGTTTGCTGCCTTAGTCAGTTATAGTATTACAAGCCCAATATAACCTCTATTCAATACATTGGGATTTTGCAATCTCTCAGTATTACTGTTATACAGCATTAGAAATGAAGAGGTTGGGTAAGCCTGCTCTGAGCCTGGTTTATCTAATAATTTAAGTAAATGCATAATATAATTTTGCTTTCTTACAAGTTGTTCCTTAGATTTTTTTCCCCCTTTATTGTCTCCTCTTGGTCTGTTTCAGCTTCTTCCTTAATGATATTCATAACCTCTCTCTCCCTCTCTCTCTTCTTTTGATGTTCCCTCCCCTTCTTCTGTAACAGTCAACACAATCTTCTCACTCTTTGTGGGTTTCTAGCTGGGGCTCCTCCTCCCCAAGCTGATTAACGTTGCCACCCAGCTCTGAAGAAATTGGCTGTCCAGCCCCACTGCCTCCTGCCACAGCACCTTCCACAGCGCTCCCTTCCTCTCCTGGCCCTGCGGTGAGCAGCCCCCGCCCCGGGCCCAGCCAGCCTTGCGCTATGGGGACCTTCAGGCCTTCTCAAAGGGCAAGCAGCACCCCCTGCCTGCTGGTCTCTTGAGGATTCTGGTGACGAAGGTTCTGGGGGTCCAGTTTGAGCTGTGGCCCTATCTTCAGATGGCTCTGAATGCAAGGCTCCAAGCACTATGAGGAGCCAGAAGGGGTCTGAGAAAACCACGTTCTCCTAATGGAAAGCCTGACTCAGCCTTTCACAAACACCTCTTTCCAACAGAGAAAGCGTTCTCTGAAAGCCACAGTCAGGAGCTACTTCCACTAGAGGCTGCACACACCTGGAGCTTAGTGCGATTCTGCGGGCATCTTATGTCCATGACCTTGGCCAAGGAGCATGCAGACAGACTCTCAATCTCTCAAATCAGCCGAGGGATGAGTGCTGACAACTCATGGCAATGTCTCCTCCTTATCTCACTCTTTCCAAACCAAACAGACTCGTTCACACGCAGTCCCCTGTTCCTCACTCCTATGCTGATGTGTGATGACACAGTCCCCCAGGAGACCAGTGGTGGGCAAGGAGAGAGGGGCAGAAACCCAGCAAAGGTCCTGCTGAGCCTGCCCACAAGAGGATCTGTTGGAGCACCCCT